ATTTATTTAAATGTTTTTTAAAAATAATAAAAAAGCTTTTTATTATTAAAACCTTTTAAATTTTAAATATATTATAAACCTAAGATCGCTTTTATTTTTTACATAAATTAAAATATTAAATAATTAAAAAAATGTTATTTAAAAAGTTTTAAAAAATAAATTATTATACTTTCTATAAATTATTAAAAAAGTTATAAATTTAAAAAGTATTAAATTACGTTTTAATATATATATATAAACTCTTAAAAATTAATTTTATTTTTATATAAAAGTTTTATTTAAACGTTTATAAGCTTTTATAAATTAATTATTTAAAAAATAAAAGATTTAATCGTTTAATAACTTATTATAATCGTTATTTATGTTTAATTTCGATTAATATAGTTTTTAATAAGTCGTTTATATTTATTTTTAATATTATTGAACTTAATAAAACGTAGTTTTATAAGCTTATTAATTATAAAAACTTAGGTTTAATTAACTTTGTCGTCGTTAAGTATTAAAATTTATTTTTATTATTACCGTTCTTTTAAATAATTAACTAACGTATATATATAGCGAGTCGCCTATTATAATAAATCGCCTATTTTTAAATAACCTCCTACTATTTATATAAGTTAATTAAGCCATATCGTACGAAATTAATCAAAACTACTTATCAGCCTCTTTTTTAAAGGTTTTTTAAACTATTTAATATATTTATATATTATATTTAATCTTTTTATAATTATTATATTACCGCCCGCGTAATTTAATACCTTTTATACAAATACCCTTTTTACGTATATTTTCGTTTTTAATATTAATAACCCTTTTCTTTATTTAGATTACTTTAGCCTTAATAATATTAAATAAGCCTCTAAAACGTAGTTATATTTCTTTAACCCTCCGACGCTTATTTAATATCTTATTTATTATATAAAGCCCACGGTACTTAATTTTAATAAAAGCTAATTTATATATTAACTTATTAATACCTTTAGTTTATAAATTAACAACTTTATATAAATATATTAATAAGTTATATTAATAATTATAAATCCGTTTTTTAAATAAAATAGAGTTTTTTACGGCGTTATATATTATAATTAATATCTTTAGGTCCTAAAAACCTTAGTTATTTAAATATAAATTAAATAATATTAACGTTTTTAATTTAAAATCTAAGTAGGAAATAATTATTTTCAAATTAAAAGTATAATTTTAGCTTATTTAAAACTAACTTATACGTTTTTTTTACCTATTAAATTAAAAAAAGCTATTTTAAAAATAAAAAAAAAGTCGTTTTTAATAATATACGTAATCTATATCCGTATTATTTTTTTAATTTCTTTATTATATAAAGTTTTTAATAAACTAAAATGATTAATATTAAAAAGCTAAAGCTCGTATAATAAATAAAAAAGTATATAAAAAACGATAATACTACGCTTTTAATAATAATTATTAAATTTAATTAATTTATAATTATTATAATTATTAAGGATTAAAAGCCGTTTAACACCCTTCGTATAAAACTATATATATTTTTTAAAATATTTCAACTAATTTAAGCCGATCTTATTTATAATCTATTTATTTTTATTAAAATAAATACGCTATTTAAAAGGGAATTAACTATTAATATACTATAAAAAAAATAATATTTACCTTTTACGATAATATATAAAAATAGCGCCTAGTTATCCGTATATATACACTAAATAATAAAAACCTATTTTTAATTATTAAACTACTTTATACGAAGCCTTTTATAATAATTAAAAGTTAAAATAACCTTTATATACGAAAATATTCTTATTAAAAAGCGCGTCTTATTAAAATTATAAATATTATAATTATATATTCTATATTTCATAATCGTATTTCATATAAAAATAAACTAAGCTTAGATAATTATAAAATCCTTAATTAATACCCTTTAATAATCGATTCTATATTAAAAACGCGTCTTTAATTATAATCAATATTATATAAAATTCTTTACTTATCGCGGTTTAATATATATTACGTCGCATTTATTAAAGAAATATTCGATAATATTTTATATATTATTAAATTATAGTAAAACTCTTTAAGTAATTAAGTTAATAACTCGTTTAAAAATTACGGTTTTTTCTAAAAAAAGTAATTTTTTTTAAAATTTATACGAATTTTATATTATAATAATAAACTAATACGTCGGTCGTAAAGTATTATTTTTAGGATATTATAAATAAAAACTATTTTTTATATAGATAAATTTAAGTCTTTTTTAATAATTTAAAATAAAAAAATAATGCGACTTTTATTTAAAAAAAATTTATAATTATATATAAAGAAAAATAGCTATTAAAATAAGAGGTGTAAAAAGAAAGGAAAGTAAGTAGCTCGTTATAATAGGCGACTCGCTATATATATACATTATTTATAATAATTATTTTTTAATTTAATAATACGCTTAACGATTAGTTTAATAAAGTTTAATTTTTTTAATAATTATATATCGTCGTTATTAACGTCCTTCGTATTTAAATTAATAAGATTTTAAATAAATACGTTTCTTACGTATATTTAAAAGCTTATATATTAAAGTAGCTAATCTATTTTTATATTAAAACGTTAATTATCATTAAATATAAAAAGTTAAGTAATTATTAATATTATAAATAAGCGTTTTACGCTTTTATAAATTTTAAAATAATAAAAATATTTATTTATTTTTATATTTTAAAAAAGGGGTTCAAAAAAGCTAAGCTTATAATTATTATAAGCTAAAAATATAAAAATATAGTTTTTATAATTTAAAATACTTATCTTTTTTAAAGGATATTTCTTAAATTAATTAAATAAATATACTATCTAAAGGCGCTTAGGAAATAAGTTAGTAGGCGTATTTAAATAGGTATTACCTTAGCTATACGCGGCTATACGCTGGACCTCTTACGACACTTTTAAAATAGCTTTTTTTATTTTAATAAAGGAAGAAAACGTATAAATTAATTTTAAATAACCTAAAATTATATTTTTTAATTTAAAAATACTGATTTCCTATTTAAATTTTAAATTAAAAACGTTAATATTATTTAATTTATGTCTAAATAGCTAAGGTTTTTAAAACTTAAAAATATTTAATTATAATATATAATACCGTATAAAGCTTTATTTTATTTAAAAAACGTATTTATAATTATTAATATAATTTATTAATACATTTATATAAAGCTATTAATTTATAAACTAAAAGTATTAATAAATTAATTTTTAAATTAATTTTTATTAAAACTAAATACCGCGGGCTTTATATAATAAATAAAATATTAAATAAGTATTAAAAAGTTAAAAAAAGGGGTTAAATTACGTAAACGGTAATACGGTAATTATAAAAGAATTAAATATAATATATAAATATATTAAATAATTCAAGAGATTTTTTAAAAAAAAAGCTAATAAATAATTTTAATGGATCTCATATAATATAGCTTAATTAATTTACATAAATAATAAAAAGGTATTTAGAAGTGGCCCGCTCGTTATAATAGCCTGCTCGCTATATATATACGTTATTTAATTATTATATTATAATTTATTAACGTTAAAAAAGAGTTACATAAAGCTAATAATTAAATTAAAAAATTTATAGAAACGATTTATAAATAAATTAAAAACAAATTTTAATAATAAAATAAATAGTAAAAGAAAGTATTTTTACTATTTACGAGCTTATTTAAATAACAATTTAATAATTAGCTTTATAATAATTTACTTATTAATAAAAATATATAATAATAATAGTAATATATATATAAGTATATTATATCGTTATTATTTATAAAATAATATAGGATTATTATTCTTAATAAGCTTTTTTTATTAAACTTATTTTTTTCATTAAATATTTTTATATTTATTTAAAAAATATATAAAAAGGACTTATATACGTAATTTAATTATAAATAGCTTTATAATAAAAAAGGTATATCGTAAAAGTTTAGTATATAATTATATATAATTAAAGTAGTATTTATTTAAAACATATTTATTAAATTATTTTTTTATTACCCTTAGTCAATATATTTACTTAATTGGTTTATAAAATATCCTTTTAAAAAAATAAATATTCTAAAGTATAAAAACTACGTTTTTATACTCTTAGCTTGCTATAAGATTTTAAAATTATTTATATATAATTACTTAATTAATAAGCGGAATAATACGAGATCTAAGTATTTACGAAACTGTAACGTAACACGTTAATATATTTTTACGTTTTTAAATTTAAATAGTATTCAATAAGCTTATTAAAAAGTCGTATAAAATAAAGTATTTTTTATATTTTTATATATATATAAAATAAATTTCGAAATTAAAAAAATTAATTAAATTATAATGTAATTATATTACTATTTAATATAGTTTCTTTAATAAAAAAACATTTTTAATAAAGTAAGTAAAATTATAAATTAATTAAATAAATAACATACTTTATTAATTAGCCGCGTATATTAATTAGCTACGCATTTTTTCTATAACGCGCTTTATTTTTAACTATTTAAACTTTTAATATATAATAACTTAATAACTATAATACTAATTTATATTTAAAAAAATAAAATTATTTTTATTATTAAAGCGATCCGAGCTATACGTATTATAAATTAAAAATTTAATATACGACGCGTTATAAAAATATATAATATCTTTAAAAGCACTTTATATAATAAAATAAATAATTAATTACGCTGCGATTAAATCTAATTTTAATAATATAAACTTAATTCGATCAAAAAAAAATACTTTTTTAATATATTATTAAATAGGATTTTAAAGGATTTTTTTTATAACTTATTAATATAGAAAATATAGCTAATCTCTTATTTTAAATATAAAATAAAACGCTTATTAAGAAATATTAAATTCAGAAGTTTATCGACTTATAACCGACTTTAAAAACTAAATTTAATTATCTATATAATTATTAAAAAGCTTTTTAAAAAGATCTGAAAGTTATTTTAAAATAATTTACGTCATTAAGTAATATAATAATTAAATATAATATTAATAATAAAGATCTATATAATTTCGATAAACTTAACTTTATAATAAGCGTTATTACCGGGTTAATAATCGTTACGTATACCGATAAATATAAAAAAGTAAAATCCGTTTAACTTAATAACCATAAATAAACTATAATTATTAAATATATATTGCAGGCCAGGAGTATAGAAACGTAGTTCTTATAGTCTAAAGTGCTTATCCTTTTAAAAAGATATTTATAGACCGATTAGGTAAATATACCGTCTAAGGGCGCCTAAGAAGTAGGTTAGTGGGCGCACTTAAACGGGTACCACCTCAGCCACACGTAGCTATGCGCTAGACCTCCTACGACAATATATTAATTTAAAAAAATAATATATCCCGCTTTTCGTAATTATTTAAAAGTCTTATTATTTTATTAATTAATCGATAAAATCCGGTTTCCTAAATAACTAAATAATTAAACTAACTATTAATAAATAAACTAATAATAAAACTAATTTAGACTAAATTAAATATTTTAATAAATATACTCAGGCTTATATAAAAAGTATTTATTAAATATTTGTAATCGATAAATATAAAAATCATCTATCAGCCGAATTCGATAAATATTATAAATAAAATAATATTATAACCGTTAATATACCCCCGTATTTATTTTATTTATTTTAATTATTAAATATTACGTTTTATTTATTTTTAAAGTATATACATAAAAATAAAATTAACTTATTTATTAAATCCTTTACTAATTATATTATAAAGTCTAAGTTTTTTATTACCTTTTATAAGGCTTATAATAAGATTTTTTTAAATAAAAATATTAAATCTGCTTTCCGTAAAGCTAAAATTTTATTATAAAACCTAAATTTTATAATTAAAAAGCTTAATATATATATATAAATACTTATATTTTTTATAAGTAACTTTTTAATATTACTAACTTAATAATTATAAACGCTTTTTAACTATTATAAAGCGCTTTTATAATTTAATTTTATTAAAATTCGGATCTTAACTTATTAAAAAAGCTTTTTAATATTAATAATTAAAATAATTAACTAGCTAATAAAAAGTATATAAATCATAGCGTATTTAATTCTAATTTTAATAAATTAAATATATATATTTTAAAATATTAATATAATATTTATAATATACCGGAAAATAAAAAAAACACGTATCTAACTTAAAAAAGCACTTAATATAAAAAAATCCTAAGTTATATTAAAAAAAAAGTAAAAAAAAACGTTTAACATTTTAAAAAAATAAAAAAAAAGGTTTATTAAAAAAATATTAGTCGACTTAATAACGTTATAATATATATAATAAAATAGATTATAATATATAAACGTATTTTAAAAATATAAAATTGTTTAATAATTTAAATATCGATAAGAGTTAATTAATATTTTATGTTATAATTATATAAATTTATAAAATATTTAAAAAGTTAAAAAAAGTACGCGGCTAATTAATATACGCAGCTAATTAGTAAAGTACCTTATATAATTTAAACGTATTAATTATAAAAAAAATATAATTAAAAAGTAATATAGAATAGTAATATAAAAAATAAAGTAAATAGTAAAATAAATATTATAATAAATATATTTTTATTATTAACTTTTTTAAATAAAAAGATATAACGAGCCCGTTTATATATATAAGGTCGCTTTAATATATAACTAAACTATTAAATAATTATAAGGAAATATTATAAGTCTTTTTTAAAAAACGTATTTAATAATTTCTTTAGTAAGTTTAAATTATTAAAATAAGTTTAAATAAAGCTAATTTGATTTTATATTTTACTAAAGTTTTAAAATAAAAATTGTTTGCTTTTTTAACAATTTTAATTTAATTATTTATTATTAGTTTATTATCGCAGGAGGTCCAGCGCACAGCCACGTATGGCTAAGGTGGTACCCGCTTAAGTACGCCTACTAACTTACTTCCTAAGCGCCCTTAGCCGGTATATTTACTTAATTAATTTATAAAATATCTTTTTAAAAAAATAAATATTTTAAATTATAAAAACTACGTTTCTATACTTTTAGCTTATTATAATTATAAATTTAGCTTTTATAGACCTTTTTTTTAAAATATAAAAGCGAATAAGTATTTTTATTATTTTAAAATTTATAAAAACGTAAAGCGTTTATTAATAATATTAATAACTATTTAACTTTTTATATTTAACGAAAATTAACGCCTTAATATAAAAGCGGATTAGCTAATTTAATATATTAATTTTTAAATACGTATAAAAAACGCGTTCGTTTAAGATTTTATCGATCTAAATACAAAAAATATTAATAACGACGATATATAACTATTAAAAAGACTAGACTTTATTAAACTAATCGCTAAGCGTACTATTAAATTAAAAAATAATTATTATAAATAATTAATTATTTAAAAAAACGGTAATAATAAAAGTAAAATCTAAACGTTTAATAATAACGAAATCGACTAAATTTAAATTCTTTTAATTAATAAGCTTATAAAACCACGTCTTATTAAGTTCGACGATATTAAAAACGAATATAAACGACTTATTAAAAATTATATTAATCGAAATTAAATATAAATAACGATTATAACGAGCTACTAAACGATTAAATCTTTTATTTTTTAAATAATTAATTTATAAAAACTTATAAATATTTAAATAAAACTCTTATATAAAAATAAAATTAACTTCTAGGAGCTTATACGTATACTAAAGCGTAATTTAATACTTTTTAAATCTATAACTTTTTTAATAATCCGCGAAAAATATAATAATATACTTTTTAAAACTTTTTAAAATAACGTCTCCTTAACTATTTAATATTCCGATTAATATAAAATATATAAGCGATCTCGGGCTTATAATATATTTAAGGTCTAAAAGGTTTTAATAATAAAGAGCTTTTTTAAAACTATTAAAACCCGCCTTATACCGACCTAAGTAATATAAATATTTAATAAGCTTATTATAAACGAGAGTTTTAAATAATTTTAATTTTAAAAGAATACGGACGGATTTTTAAAATCTTTTATTAAAAAAATTAGTTTTTAAAAAGCGGTAATAAAAGCCTTAGCCTTTTTACTATTTTTAAAAAACGTTTAAATAAACTTAATAACTAAAAAACGATATTTAGAGCTTATTTATATAAAAAAGATTATTATTAATCCTTATAAGATTATGAAAAAGTCCGGAAAGCTTTTATAAAAACTTTTAAATATATAAAAAAGCTTATAAATAAAAAAGCGGTTAAAATAAAAAACCGAGTTATATTATTAACTTTCGATTATATTTAAATTAAATATAAAAAAAAATTAACTAATAATATTAAAAATATATATTAAAAAAACCAAAGTAATAATAAAACCCGCTCAAAAACTTACTTTAAAAACGTCGTAACGGTTATTATTTTTAATAATAATAAAAAACTTTAAAAAAGCGGTTCTATAAGCTTTTTAATATTTTTAATATTTTTTAAAAAACGCTACGTTTTATTAAATAATACGGTCTATAATAATTATAAAGGATACTATTTAATTAATAATAAGGCCTTATTAAAAAAAAGTTTTTATAAACCTTATTTAAAAAGCGAACTTATAAAAAAGGGGTATTACCCGTATTTATATTATAAAAATAAGTATTAAAGTCCTTAAAAAAGCTCTTTATAATAAAAAAGGCCTTAATATTAAAAACCTCGTTTTAAAAAACGTCGCTATTATAAAAAGCTTTTATATTAATATCGTTTTTAAAACGTATTTATTAAAAATAGGAATTTAATATTACGGCCTCGATACGACTTTACGTTTTAAAAATATAAATAAAAATATAATAATAGTTTAACTATTTAAAAAAGATATTCTTACTTTTTTTTAATATAAATTTATTATTTATTACTTTATAGCCCGCTTTTTAATATTAATAAGCTCTTTATATTTTATAATAATAGTCTAGTTTAATATTTTATTATATTATAAATTTAATTTTAATATTATTTATATAAATAAAATAGACGATGCGATAGTTTAATATCTCCGAGCTAATTATTTAAAACTAAAAGCCTTTTAAAATTTAGTTTATAACGCTTAGGAAGTAAATATAAAAAAGTTATTAAAAATAAAATATGAGTATTACGCTTTTATATATATATAAAAAATAATTTTTAAATCCTTTTTAAAAAATCGAGTTTTAAAACCGTATTACCGTATATTTTAAAACCTTTTTAATTTCCTAAAATCTTTTAAAAACTATTCTTAACTATTTATAATTAAAAATAAATATTTTATAAAACTTTTTAAATTCTTTTTAAAAAGTAAATAAATAAAATTAATTTTTAAAATCGTAAGAGTTTTTAAATTTTAAATACGCCATTAAAAAGGCTTAGTAATTTATAAAATCTATATAAATAATAAAAAAATAATAATTACTATATATAAAAAAACCCCTTTTTAAATATAAATAAAAAATAAAAGGATCGATTTTAAGCTCTTTTTTATATATATAAAAAACCTAATAAAAAGGGGTAAGTATATAAAAAAAGAAGCGATTACTAAAAGTATTAAAATAAAATTAATAACTAAACTTTTAAAAAGCTTATAAAATAAATATACGTTAATAAGAATATTCTTTTATAATATTTTATTACGCTAAGATATAATTTAAAAATCGCTTAATTGAATAGAAAAAAAATAGTTTAAATAATATTTTAAATAATAAGCGTTTAAATTTATTTATAAAATAATTTAAGACCTATACTTATATTAAAAAGGCCTTTACGTTTACGATTATAAAGCTTACCCGCTTTTAAAAAACTAAAAAAAAAAGTAAAAAAAAAATATTATAAAGTATTTCTATAAGGGTATATTAAATACCTTATTATATAGTAAATACTTATAATTTATATAGGAATTAGGTTCTTATATTTAAATAGGTAATAATTATATATAATATATATTTTAATAAAACTATTTTCTATTTAAAAAAGGATATTATAAAAATATTATTTATAATTATAATTAATTTAATTATCGATAATATTTAAAAGCTTATAAATATTATAAATATTATTTTTAAGCTTTTAAACGTTTTAAATATAAATAAAAATAAGTTTATTTAAAAAATTATTAAATTTAAAATATTTATTTAAATAATTTAAACCGTAATTTTTATATTAAAAAACGTCGAAATATTTAAAATAACTTTTAAAAAAAGGAAAGGATTAATAATTTTTAAATAGACTTTTAATACCGAACGTATATTAATAATTATAAATAAAAAACTAATTATTATAAAATTTAAAAGTTTAAAAACTATATTATAAAATATATAAATAGTTAATAATTTAAAAATAATATTTAATAATAATAATAAAACTAAATATTTAGATTTAATATTATAAAAAAAACTTAGCGGATTAGAAATATAATTTTTAATATTATTTTAATAAATTACGTTAAAAAAAATAAAAAAAAATAATAAAAATATATAAATCGTTTATATTTAAAAATACGTAAATTTAAAAAATAATAATAAACTTTATAATTATTTAATTCTTTATTAAATAATTAAAAAATATAAAAAACGGATTTTTAAACAACTTAAATTAAGATTTTTTATAAACTTATTTTTTTAATAAAAAAATATAATATTACGATTATAATTCTATATATTATATGTTTTATAAAATAATATAAACCGTAATATAAAATAATTAAATTAAATGTAATACGATTATTAATTAAAAAATAATATATATTAATAATCTTTTAAAAGTTTTAAAAAATTAAAAAAAACTTTTTAAATTTCTACATTATTTATAAAAGCTTTTTATTAAAATAGTTTATAAAAATTA